GCTGTGGGAGCCAGATCACCTTCCAGACTAACCTCCCTTCTGCCGGCACCTTCACCCTCACTTCGGAGAACGCAGGTGAAGTGACCGGAACGATACCCCAAACTTCCCTCCTGGCAGAGTCACGGATCTCAGGTCATCTCTTACCTTCAGTCAGGTCATCTTAACCTTCACGGCTCCTGGGGATGACCTCGATCAAGGCACAGGTCAGTCTGCTTTTGTTAATGGGTGTGGGATGGTGTTCCTGTGAGTGTATGTTTTTGCTCTTATTTTTGTTGATATTTTCATTATTTATCTTCTAATCAATAGTATTGTTGATATTATTATTATCATCTGTATTATTATTATTACTGTAGTGGACCCTGAGATTCATTTTTTAAATCTTTTAATAGCACCTCGCCAGTAGCAATGCTTACTAATGATTTATCTGTGATATCTTGATTTACCCCATTTTATATAATTGTTGTGAACTATGAACGAACAGTTACCGGCCAGCAGCTAATGGGGGGGGGGTCGAAGTTTCCGCCTTCCATTTTGCTGGGTTTTCTGCATCTGACTGGATCTGTCTTTTCTGGTTTACGTTCTTTGCGCGTTTTTGTGTGTGCCCAGAGTATTACTTATACTTTTTACTTCTAAAATAAACTCAAATCTAGAACCCTGAGTACCTCATGCTTAGTTTCGGAGAAGTTATTTTGAAGTTCCTCTTGAAAATCCCACATGAAATTCATGTCCACATGCATTTCCTATTGTTCGTGTAACAGACTTAAAGAACTACACCAATTATTCTCTTTGGAATCCACATGAGGGCTGGGTTTAAATGAAGAATAAAACAGTGCAATTAGACACTATAGCAGGAATTCATGGTGAAGTGCGTATTATAGTATCTAAGATAATGATATAATGAATATAAAATTGGCGACATAGTTCATAATGGTGTGCGCATGAGCTCGGTATCTCAATGATAACTCTTATCTACAACTTTGTCAACGTAAAAAAAGGAAAAACACCTAAATAGCTCGTTGGAAAAGGTACTATTAAACTTCCTTGCAAAGAGATTGATACTCGACATACTTCTAAATTTCTGATACAAATCTCTTCTTGGTTCTCTGTGTAGCCATGTAGTATGACGTTTCTGTAAGGTTTATGTCGTCACATATCTATATTTTACGGCTAGGTTTGTTTCTTTCCTTTCATATTTGACCTTGAAGAAAGTTGTAACAAACATATAAAGTCCGATTACGTACTACTGATTGTGATTCTGACTGGCACTGAAAGATTTACCGTAATGTGAATTTTACAGAACTTGCAGAAATATTAGCGAACCTCTCTTGTCTTTTCCTTTACCCCTCAGTCTTTAGAAAAAAAACATGTTTGGATTTTATATTGTTTACTGTGATAAAGACTACTATGCAGCCTCCGCTGAGTGTGTAACGTTACTTCCATTCCAGCTGCAAGATACGATGTAAACTTTAAGAGGGACGACAACACCATCACAACCTACTCGTCCAACGAGACACAGGAGGCCGGAATGCTTGTCACCATCATCACGCAGTTGCCGGACTGTGATGTCCTCTTCCACATAACCGTATCGGCCACAGACTCGCAGTCGGAGCGAGGCAAAGAGTCCAATGAAGTGAGGGAGATGGTGTCCTGCTCCGCCACAGAGACTCCGCCCATAGACCCCCCAAATCCCCCAACACCTCTGGGTACAGGAGCCATCGTCGGCATCGTCATCGGCGTTATTTTGTTCTTGGTGATCCTCGCCATTGGCATATACTTATTTATGAATCGTGGCAACCTCGATGACCTTTGGCTGTGTCGGTGCCTCAGAAAACCGAAAAATGAAAAACTTTCCCAACCTCCGCCGCCGCGGTCGACCATTAACGAAGTAGGCCTACCACCTTACAGTGGCGAACCTAGCCATGACCCGCCGCACATCTATGAGAACGTCGCATATTACGGCTCGCAGGACGACCAGCATCACGAACAGTTTTACAATTAACCTTGCTTAGCTAAATCAGAAAAACCTTATGTTGATCTTAGTGAGAATTATTATTTATTCGAGAATATTAGTAAAATATGAGCAAAATTAGTCATAATTTTCTAAGTTCATATCCGTATCATCTTAACAGTCTTATTATCACAGTTATTACTACTTTCCTGATCTTTCAACGCAATATAGAAGTAAAAGCTTCCATTATTCTCAGAGTCCCTAAGGATCTCAAATTTGTTCTTAACCTTCACTTTGTTTTCATTAACTCGTATGAATTCCGTAATTCTTTATTAGTGCACAGAAATAATTAGAAGCTTGTTTCAACAGGGCTGTTAGGTTCACTACCCAGAATATTTATCAGCACTAAGAATCAGTTAGTCACATTTTAATTACTAACTAGATTTAAATGAATGTTAAAGTACCTTTACAAAGCTTTCATAATCTTATAGTATCATTTTCTGTCTTTACACAACCATTATCTTAAGTTTCTTAGTGTTGGATCATTAAAAAAAGTAATTAATCAGTTGAATAATTCATTCAAGGATACAGTAAGATTGTGGAATTATATAAAACACTAATACATTTATATAGGTATATTAAAAAAAACATTCTCTCTGTCAAAAGCAAAAAAAAAAAAAAAAAAAAAAAGTTAATATCCATAGGTGAAATTACTCACTGGGTTAAACACAAAATACAAAATACATGCCATTAGGCGGATGCCCCGAAATAAGAATGTATATGACATGGAAATTATCACTGAGGGTAAATGAAACCCTTTAGTTCTGCCAGAAAAGTAAGCAAAACCAATCTGGGCGTCAATAAAAAACACCGGACCACATTCAAGGCACATAGACTCATAAATACTCCAAATCAATATATATCACCATTTACATATATCGTTAAATAATCATGCTGGAACTTCTTGTACTTCAGATACTAATCTTACAGTTAAATCGTATGAACAACAAATACCACAAGACCGTGCGTCTCACCTCCACCGAAGTCCCAGTTCGAGTTCGCTGGTCCAACGCTTTGCATCTCGCAACTCCCATCTCATTATTACATTATATAATTTCTAAGCCGTTTGAGATCACCAGGATTATCAAAAATTATTATTACATATTTGAAAAAAATAACCAAAGCATATTTATTGCATTTTTCTGATTGCTGCTACTACAATGCAGGATCCACATGAATTAACAGATTAAAAAAACTACTTTACTTAACAGTTAGTATGGTTACGGTCCTCAGAATAATGGCTATGATAATGCAGGCTATACTGCAAATTACGACAGGGATAAAGAATAAATCAAATACCCAAATTTAGAGCCTTGAAATTTTAGTTTTGCATATACGTTATTACAGAAGACAACGTGCAAGGTGCTAGCGAGTTGTCAAGTGACGTAAAATGTGCAATACAAGAATAAACATGGAAACATTGCAAGCAGAAATAGAAAAAAAATTGCCAACTGGATAAATGAAGACAGATTTTTATTTCATTTTGGAGATTAAGAGTGAAAACGGACAGATATTTGCTCTTAATCTAATTATGATATGCAATAATTTATCGCATTGTTGGGAAGGAAAACTTATTCTGTACATGTTAAGTAGATGTGTATTGTTGAATCCAACATCCTAATAAATTTATTATGCATTTTCGGTAACCCTTCAATAAATTATAAAAAGAACGGGGGAGTAATAAATTTACAAGAAATTATGAGAAAAATATTGATTAGAAGAAATCCTTGGAAAGGATTAGATTATCTATATATACTGTGTATATATATATTCACATTGTGTGTGTGCTTGTATGTATGTATATATATATATATATATATATATATATATATATATATATATATATATATATATATATATATATGTGTGTGTGTGTGTGTGTGTGTGTGTGTTGTGAAGGCGTGTGGGAGGCATACATGCATGTATGGAAGCATGGTTGCAAGCTTGCATGCTTGTTTATACGTAGGATGTATATATGCATGTATTTTTATGTACACGCTTTCATATAATCATCAGCATCTGGGGGCTAACGCCGACGGGGGCGCATGGCCGCATCCACCCTTCGCTTCCACCTTTTGGGGTCACTCATGGAAAGCCGCCAGGCAGGGACTCGTCCATCTCAAGCTCTTCACGACAGGTTTGATTGATCTGCCCAAGCCACGACCTCCTAGGTCGTCCCACAGGCCTCCGCCACCCAGGGGTGTCTCGTACCGAGATAACCTGGTGGGCAGGATCATCCTGGGGGAAGCGAGCCAGGTGGCCATATAGCCCGAGTTGGCGATCCCGGATTGTGCAGGTAACAGGTTGGTTGAACTCGTGGTCTCGCCAACTGTACCCCATGATCCGGCGCAAGGACCTATAACAAAAGGCATCAAGACGAGACTCCAAGGCACAGGATAATGTCCAGGTTTCACTACCGTATAGCAAAACTGGTATTATAATAATATCATCATTGCATATAATGCGGTGATGATATTATTTTGATGTTTATCATTGACATGTTTCGCAAATGTAAAACAAACATTACAACAACAAATGCAAAAAAACAACTTTGTTGCATAAAATTATTATTCCATTGGTCAAAAAATTGCAAAAAAAGTGTTAAATTCTTGTATTATGTCTTGCCTTACTTATTATACAAAGTGATCACTAATTTATTCGATATTTTTAACAATAAGAACACTACATTGTTCCATATTTTTTAACGCAGTGAAAGCAATTTGTTCCTTGTGTTCAATAGATAAAGATAACTAAATGATTTCATATTTTTGATACGGCAGAGAACATTGTCATTCCAAATTTTATACAATGTGGACAGTGCCTTGTGCCTCATGGTCTTAATATAAAGAAAATGAGTTGTGGTTCAGTGGCAAGGAAATAGCGATTGAAATAGTTGATTTAACTGATCTTCCTTTTCTCTCTCTTCTTTCTTAATAAATGAACGTGTGAATTTTAAAACGCGTTTTCCTTAACACACCTTGGTAATTTTATT